CCAATTGTCCAGTAGGTACCGTTTTAAATTCACCATAACAGCTTTTCTTAAGTTGCTTTAGTATTTTTAAGTTTTAAGTCATTATTTTACGTCTTTTCTCAGATACTTAATATCTACTAGCGACCCGCCCCGGCTTCGCACGAGTCTCATATGCATGTATTATACATATAAACCTTCCTTAATAATCACTCTATCTATCAAGAAACCGCATCAAAATCCGTTGCGTAGTTTTAAAGATCTAAGCATACATAGGGACAGACAGACGGCGGATAGCGACTTTGTTTTATACTATGTAGTTATAATTGCTTGCAATATTGCATAGAAAACCATTGACTAAACAACCCAACAATACTTACTTGAAAATGAATCTTATCAATTACGATTACGATCTTAGTAGTTGCAGTTATATCTTGTCTGAACGCAAGTCTAAACTCGAGAAGGCCTGAAGGTGGAATGTCTTCAATTTCAGGCAAAATCAAAGCTCACGAAATCAATTTGTCTCAATTTTCTTCCCTTTGTTTGTGCAATTTCTGCGACAAAGAGTGGCTACGTGCAATAGAGTATGGCGCGCGACGGGTCAGCGACCCGGTGCGCCCAGCTCGCATGCCATCCCGGGTAAAAATAGCCCCTGTTCCAAGTCTCTATAGCCTTCATACACGCATTGCCCATTTACTTGAGAACAGAGAAATTTGCGTACAACATTGAAGGCGTAATAGAGAATGCGTGCGCAAGAGTCACGCACTGACGTTTTGTGCGCGCCGGATTATTTGCCTGACAATGTATGTCAGATGTAGATTATCATGGCGTCAGTCAGCTATTTCTCAATGTCTGCAGTGCACAATTATCCCGCAGACAATAAAACAACAAGAACTATACTTACAATATGGAATTTAACGATTTCCATAATGTCGATCTTATTATGTTAATCCGTCTTACCTACAAGGCAAATGGAATTTGCGTTGTAATGCTATAGAAGATGATTTGCTGGAGAAATAACTTTGTGGCGTCTGCCTACGCATTGTATCCTGGCAATATTTCATAGTACCTAGGCACTCAGACGCAGGCGCCACTCTTTATACAATCAAGTCCTAACAATGCAAAGGTCTAATGCGATTTATTACTCTGCACTTATAGCGCTGACTCAGGAGACCATACTAATGTTTCAAAGTCTATATTTTTGCAGTATATTTAAATTGTTACATTTCGCAATAAAACGACAAATAAGTAATAATTGGTCACGCAAATGTTGTAAGTGTTAACTAAAATCTTTAGGAATTTGGAGGACGCAAGTTATGTAATGTGGGTGGCGCCTGCGCATACTGATTCTGCTACTTATTAAGTTAACGACTTCTTCGCACAGAATGTTAATTTCACACAACCTTGACTTATTTTATTTGAAAACAATGCTTTATTATTATTTCTAACTTACAACTATAGACACGACAAAGTAATTTAACCCGTTGATATCCATACAAAAGTATTCTCTAAACATTAGAAATAAGGTCTATAATGTAATGTAATATTAGTGGAAAGCGGTCACCGGTGACCGCTTGGGGATTTATGGGTTAAGAAGTCGGTAACATGAGATTTACCCAGTGTAAACGCAGTATTTAATCAGATGATGTATTTGGAAAAAACTAGACAGTTTGTATGATTTAAACACGTTTCTTCTGATTTCTTTGTCCTTTTTTTTACTTACTTAAAGGGTCTAAATTTTATTTTCTGAACTAAAATTATATTTTTTTTATTTTTATTTTATTAATCGGTTTGTATCATGAATTAAACCAAAATGTATTAAATTGAACTAATTAGGATTATAGTTTAGAAAACATTCGATTTGCATTCAAAATTTCTTACATTCTTTTGGCAGCAATTGAATAAATGGAAAACGTGATGAGCGTAACCATAAATTGCTTTCAAGTTAACATATTTATTTATATATATCCACGACTCCAATGTTCTACCAACGCGACCGGCAGTTGTAAAAAATAATTGAATGAACACATGCCTACTGCATGAGGTATCGCGTGACATTTCAAAGGTTCCATCGGTAGAACAGAGGATGGAAGGTCGTGTATGTAATACTAAATTACTTGTAATTAACATACAAAGGGATCTTGATTTGCGCCCACTACCACCAACCTTCAGGGTTAATCATCCGTTGACTACCACCTACCACTTACCACAATAGGTTTAAATTGAGAAGACAGTCATATCTACTGCAATTAACTATCATAATACTTATTTCGGAATGCAAAAACGTCTGCATTTTTAATGTAAAAGCCTGCAAGAATCAAGGACCATATAACATAACATCACGCCTTTTATCCCCGAAGGGGTAGGCACAAGTGCACATTATGCCACTGTACAATGTAACACACATTTTTCACTATTAATGTTATGAGTCTCATGTAATAGGGGGTGAGCCTATTGCCATATACCGGGCATAATTCCAGAGTCCGTGCTACTACTGAGAATTTTTTATTTTTTTAAAACCCAGGTATAGGTACTTTGCCCGACCCGGGAATCAAACCCGAGACCCCTTGCCCGACAGTCGCAATTGCGATCTCTCGGGCACGAGGCAGTCATAGGTTTAACTCGTCGAGTACCGGTTTTGTAGACACAATTATAGAACAATAGGTTGCGGTCACCGGTGACCGCTTGATGTTTGACAGTTTAAATTATGAAGATATTCATAGCTCCTGCAATTAACCATCATAATACTTATTTCGGATGCAAAAACGTCTGCATTTTTTATGTAAAAGCATACAAGAATCAAGGACCATAAAATTCATAAATAAGGTATTAATAAACTTGTATAAAGTAGGTAGGCTTATTAACATTTTACTTGGTCAATTCACCTTTATTACGCATGCGTCAGTAGCATACGCCACAGATAAGATCATGCTACATAATAACTACAAAAAGGATATGTGCATGAAGGCTTTAATCTTTGAATTACTCAAGATGGAAGCTATGTAGATTGCTTTAGGAAGATAAAATCAAATAAAGGATTAGATGACTAAATCTGAATGAATAATAAAGCTAGCATAGCCTTTTTATTACATTCGTTAGGCAGTCATACAGTGTATAGCAGGAGTATAATTCTTATACCTACATTGCCAAGCACTTTATTACTACTTCTAGATTCATTCTTTTTATTGGGATTAGGGAATATTTCAATAAAAGCACTTGTCAGAATTCTTATAAATTACGATATTTATTTGAACGCAGACAAAAAAAAAACAGCGCCTCTATCAGCAGACAACGAAAACTTCTTACAAAATAGAACAACATGACCACTTTATGAACTTACTTTTGAACACTTACCACCATATTATATATAAAAGAGCGAATCCTTTTTAAAATCAAACTAAACAGTTTTTTACAAACCTCACACAAAACATTACCCGGAATCTTAACAAAATAAATGAAGACGAATCGCTGAACTGATGTAAAATTGCCGAACAGCTATTAATAAAATATGGCGTATGTTCCCCTTCGTTATCTCCGTCATTATTTATCCCATACAATATGTGAGAGGCGGCATTACTCAATGCAATGTTCATCAATAAAACTGGCTGCAATTATCATAAAGACACGCAACTTCTTACAGGCAAAGCGCCAAGTATCACGCATCACGCTATCTAACTAGGTGAGGGTCTGTCCAGTTACTTCCGAAATGACACTTGAAAGACAATGAACTATGGACACTATGGTAATGCTGATCGTGGTACCGGTTCTATAGACACGTCTATGTTACAAAAGTAATAAAGCTGATGGTGATTGAAGTCATTCAGGCGGAGCAGGGGTAATTAAATTGCAAATATGACGCTAATCTCCGTAACTTGGCCTTTGAAGATTATAGTAATATTGCATTCAATGCTTTCACGCTCGACAACACGTTAAAAAGAAAAACATCCCATGTTTTGACTAGAAACGTTAAGCTTCAACTTACTTCCCGACTGCTTCTAGTTTTTGCACGTCTATGAAGTTGTCACTCCAATTAAAGCTAGAGTAGACGAGAATAATAAATCATGTTAGTTAACACTGTTCAATTAACAGAATCTTCGTAATTATGGAACAATGCGCCGTGCTTGGGGTCCCACGGTTTGTTAATGGTTCTATTTACTGCCACATAATCGATGTCTAGTTCAAGGCATGGGGCTGCATATGTGATATATGTATTATGGTTTTAGTTCCCGTGAGATGCACTTCCTAGGGTAATTCATTTGAATGCACAGTTGGGTGCGCGTCCGTGCGATTGCCGCACGGAGCAACTCTTTATGTGATCCACAAATTGTTATTTCTGATCTGGGTGTCATTTGTATATGAACTTGTATGTTTTTAAACACACCCTCGACAAAGAAGAAAATCCTAGATTGGGGCAACGTTTGTTTTTTTTTAAAAGCTTGTCTTCGAGAGATTTTCGATCTTTCTGATCTTTGACAACCGAAAATTTTCACTAGACTTTACCACAAACAATTTAATTAGTGACGTTGACGCCTCATGGTTATGCACAAATGCGGAAGTGCAAAACATTTATATGCACAATGATTTACCAATGACCTTCCACACCAAACGTGTCCACGTCTAAATTACATCATGCCGTTAATAACAAAATTGAATTAAAAAACAAATGCTCGTTGACATGTTCATACATTTCGCAACTTTCGACAATGAGATGGTTAGATTGGTTGTCGCGCGTGCGTCCGGTCGACTAGTCAACTGGCTGTTGGTGATGCAACGTAGTGCGGCCTTTGATTCGCCATGCCAGCAGCCAGACAGCTTTGTACGGGATATGGCCAATGTCGATCACTGTTGGGAAATGCCATGTGAATTGAACATGCCAATACTGTTATGTACTGTTGTATTATAGTAGAAGTGTATGGAATGTAGGATACAAATTTAGTTAAGAGATAGAAAGAACCAAATTGATTGAACTGATTCACAATAATATGTCTATATAGAATCTAAGAGAGTTATATCTTTTGTTTCAGATGCAAACACGTTGAATGATCATGCGCAAGCTGGAGAAAGAAAACGACATCACATTGGAATGACACAGGTACCAAGACAACTACTTCTAGAAGACGATCTACTTAAACTGTTTACAAGGCATGACATGATCTCATTTGTGGATATAATGAAGAAGACTTTTTTAACAATTTTTATTCAAATCCAGGTACAATAGAGGCATACAATGTCACAGTCGGCGCTGGGCCTCGGTGGGGAGCGGAGGTACTCGGTGCCATCCAACCCGCTGATGCACGACCACCGAGGGATGCACTCAGAGGATCTGCACGCGTGGTCGATATACAGGTGAATATAACACTTTTGATAGAGGTTTAGACATATTAGCAGTTAAAATGGAGGGAAAAGTTCTTGACTTTCGGCAGAACGTGGTAGCTCCACAACTGAATGTTAATATTTTATAATGAAACAAATGTTGTTGACTGCACAGGCCTTTAAGGCTAACGCTAGGTAACGATTGTTGGTTTTCTGATTAAATACCAATTTTAAAAACTTATACCTCTACTACCTACCAGTAATAAGCAGCAATGATGGTTTTGAAGTCGAAAAAACGGAAACTTAAAAAGGAAAAAATACTTAGATGTTGTTAGACATGTGTTCACTGATTGTGCGTATGTCACCACCCACGAAGACGATTTTCATTGTTACGTGAAACCGTAGGCGTTGGTTATGGTATTTATGGTACGACTCTGAATCACGGAAATCGTCTTCGTCTTCGACATGCTATGCTAATAGCATACATGCGACATACACAGCTGCTTATAATGCTACCAAAGCCCTGATGGAAAATAATATTTTCAATGTACAAATTTGTAAATAAACGAACTCAATTAAATTCCCGAAAATGAAGTTCAGGGTCGTTACAGTTGAAAATCTCACTTCAATTCGTACTACGCATAAAATTTCGAACGCGTAACAAATATATTTAGTATGGCCGTCTCGCGTGAGAACTGTGGCACTAACATAGATAATGAGCTCGATAAACCATTGTTTATAATAAAAGAGTGTAAAACAAAAACATTGCTATATTTTAGGCAAAACCTGAATTCGGACTTCACTGACAGTGCGTTGGGCAGTACAGACAAGAGCCCCCTGCCATACGGGAACTTCCAGCTTAGGGACACCACCGTGCAGTCCATCCTGTCACACCCACGATATGGACCCAAGTAAGTACATTTTATTATTATTTTTCACTTAAAGGGAAGGTTTTGAACTTAACCACATTGAAGGATCGCAGGCAGCGTGGCCTGAATTGAGACATACAAGATCTTGAGTGGACATTATGACATTACTGATTTCGAGCAACTGTTCTCACGTAATGAAAACGTTCATCTTAGAGGCAAAAATATTCCTCACAGACAATTTCTGAGTAATCGCGTGGTCGGAGCATGGAACAGGCTTCCAGAATATGTAATCGCTGCACAGAATGTTAACCAGTTCAAAAACAGACTTGACAGATACACAACATCGAATTAACCACTGATAGAAGAATACGATACAGACATTTATCAGTTGTTTCAACTGCCTGTCTGAATTAAATAAATAATAATAATAAATATTGCTGATTTCTCTTAGGTTTCTTTTTACGTATTTGGATTCCCCTTTCTGAAATGTTTGGAACTCAAGTCATTGTTGCAAAATATTGTACGTAATACCTTGGATTCAGGTTTCAATGTTTTATTTCGCTAACAACTACATATTGTCGATTCAGTAGACACACTAATTATTATCAAGACGCTATAAATGTCTACACAACCCGCATGACATAATTTACACAGCAAATATTATTGCGGCATTTCGTGATATTTTTAACTATTGTAGAACATACAATCAGTATTGTTTTGCTATTAAAATTTCCATTAAATCGGTGGCTCGTAAAAAATGATTGTAACATACATATAGTACCTCGTTTCATTGCAATATCGGCCTCGCTGTTAATGAAATTTATGTCACGGTGTTTGCCTTACCTTGTCCTACAGAATCTTTATACTTTGTCACCAGATCGGCACTCGGCTCCAATATGTATACGTACCTGAAGTTCGGGCTTCCTCGGGTATTTCCGCCGAACCACAACGGGTCGCAGCGCTCAGGGACTCCTAAACCTAAGACTTCGATCGGGAGTGGCATGAAACCTGTGCCTAGGTAAGTAATACAAAAATCTTATCCTCATCATGTTCCTTTTGTCTCTCCTTCCATCTATGGCTAAGTAGTGTTATGAACCCATGTAATATGGACACTGGATAGACAGGAGTCAAGATTTTTATTGTTCTATTAAAGAATTTTTAACGCGTTAAATAATATTTCATGTAAAAAAGTGTAATACTTGTTTCACAGGATCCAAAGACAGAGTCGAGGTATGCGCGAGACATCATCAGGTTACGACAGTTCAGACAACGAGACTACCACTAACTACAAATACAGTCGCAAGTACCGGTCGGACCCCGACTTTAGGATGCAGAACGTACACCCATCTTTACAGGTTCGCACTTTCTCTTTTTAATACAACAAGTTGATGATTCGACAATTTTGGTTAAACCCGCAGCCTGGGTGACAAGGTCATTTACCCTGCATTTATTTATTGATGATTCATTCGACGATTTAATGGCAGCTTCTGTTCATATTCATTGATACTTTCACCATTTGTGAAGTGATCAAAATAGCTGTTAATGGATTAGACAGAATAGAAACTATACGATACCACTTCATGTCCTAAACCGATAATAGAAAAACCGAATAAAAAGTACCAAAGGATCTATCCATAAAGTAACGGAAACATGAAAGACGGAACTCATTTTTCTCTTATCTTCCTTCCAGCCGAACACAGGAGTTCCAGTGGTAGCTATGCAGCAGGCAGGTATCCGTGGAGACGGTCAATGGACGAACTCCAGACACAAGTCAGTCAGTGAAGCCAATCTACTAGGCATTGATGCAAGACCCCAACATCGATCCCACTATAGCAATAGAAGAAACAGTGTAGCCGACTACGTCCCTGATGGAGACCACCAAAGGTAAAGAAAAACGACCTTACATTCATTTGTATACGTCACATTTTGGTATAACGCTATAAAATGTAGGTTGAATTTTTATGTGGAAATGGTATTTGCATGACCTGCATAAATGTCCCCAAACGTTTGTGTTTAGACAAGACAAAGTTACAGAAAACTTGTTTTAAAATGTGACCTTAGTTATTGCTTGGCTATTCTAAAACTTCGTGCTCTCCGACTGATGCTTGTAATGAATCTTCTGTATTCCAGCTACCTAATGTCACCTTCCCACTTGGGCGGTCGGATGTCGAAGGCAGGCAGTCACATGTCTATAGCTCAGTCTAGAAAACACTCCACACTGAGACCAGGCGACCATCTGGACGGATACACACACTCTGCGTATATTTACCCTAATTATTATGTGAGTATTGAATTTTGTAACTAAATTTGATTGTGATAGACTTGGTGAAATATTAATTTTCAGCTGAATAAATGATGAAAGTTCCAAGTTTCCCGTAAAATGATGGTTTGCTTATTGGATGCCTGGCAGAGAACGCTAATGCAAAAAAAAAATTAACGCGAAAGTAATGACGTAGTCAAACAAATAAATTAAAGCAAATTTCTTCAACTTTTTTTCTAAAATGTTGTTAACCAGATTATTCGGTTTACAGATAAACAGTTTAGAAATAACAGCACCGGAAAACAAGTCAACTCTTCTGGTGTCTGGTCTGAGTTTCGAAGTAAAGTCTGGAGAAATATTAGCGGTTCTAGCAACATCTCATCATGAGGCCACTGGACTACTCGATGTTTTAGCTGGTGTACGGAAGGTATGAATATGATCTTGGTATCGTCACACTTATGGTTAAGGCAAAGTACTAAGACAGACTAAAGACAAAGACTATTAAAAAGGTTTAGAAAAAAATTGCAACATCTGTCTTCTTTATGATGATGAAGAGAACGACGACATGTGAATGTTTAGATAAGTATGATCTATCTACGTTCTCTTTTTCTCCAGAAACTAACAGGCGACATAGTCCTCAATGGTCAACCAGTTGCTTCCTCAACTCTTCGAAAGGTTGCAGCATACGTTCGTAAAGACACTTCCCTGTGTGCTTCCATGACAGTTGAACATACCTTGAAGTTCCACGCCGCTTTGAGAAGACCAAGAAATAATGGGCAGGTTAAAATGGACGATAGAGACAGGGTATGTAGCGATGTACAATATTATTTTGCTTTCCTATTCAGACCTATCCAGAAAATTGTCATTATACTGTTTCCAGAGTGTTCTTGGAAAAAGCTCAAAAGGTGAAACGTTTTCAATAGGTTTAAGCTGTCCTGAAACAGTCGTCCAAATACTTTGATAGGCTACAAAACATTTGACCTTTTGTTATCACTTTCACATGATTCCAGATAAATCTTCTGATAGAAGAACTGGGGTTGGAACAAGTCCGGGACACGAACGTAGGTCGCCTCACTCGATCAGAGATCCGTCGCCTCAACGTTGCGTGCCAGCTACTCCTAGACATGGCCATACTAATCTTAGACCAACCGACTAAGGAGATGGATATCTTCGACACTTTCTTCCTGGTGGAATACTTGAGAAACTGGGCCAGTACTGGTAGAGTTGTCATCATGTCACTGCATCCACCAACTTATGAGATTTTCGCAATGCTTACTAAGGTAAATTGTAGTCCTACCCTTTTTCTGTTTTATTACGGTTTTAAGAGGTTGCTTATGTCGTATATTTTTTTAAGGTGGTCTTAATCTCAGCCGGTAGAACGATGTTCAGCGGGTACAGAAGGGATATGTTGCCATATTTTGCTTCCATCGATTATCCCTGCCCAGCTTTCAAGAACCCTTCAGATTATTATTGTAAGTCATTTTATTTATTTTAAACCATTTATATTCTAGACTTGGTACATTGTAGTTACGTGAACCCAAAATTGATTTTAAAAATGTTCATCCTTTTAGTGGATCTGGTGACGCTGGACGACTTGTCAGCGGCTGCTATGTTGGAATCATCGGGTCGCATCTCTGCACTTGCCAATGTGTTCGCTGGTGCGCAAGCGCCGCCTGACCCACCGCCGCCCGTGCCACTACCCGCCCCACTTACCCGGCCTAATGTGCTTGTACAGGCTGGAGCCCTTATAGAGTGAGTTTGTTTTAGAACTTTTGTAATAATAAAATTGCTCTATAAAGCACAATTCTAAATCGACGTTGTTTTCATGTTTCAGGAAAAGTCTCCTATTCACTCAATCTACAACATTATCGAACGTGATAACTCGGATACTCTTGGCCGCAATAATGTCTTTGATTACCGGTGCCGTGTTCTGGGATCTTCCTGTTACAGATCCGAAGGTATCTTAATTTATATTCTGCCATTTCATAACTTTAGGCTTCGGAGACTTCTGGATCTTTCAAAACCTAACCTCAATACTTCTTTTTGGAGAGGCTTATGTCCGCAATAGACAGAAACTTCTAAACTCCAAAAAAAAAATATAAGATTTTTCAAAATCTAATGTGATGATTTTTTTAAATCTAAGATTTTTTTTAAATAGTTCATTAACCTCAATCCTAATCTTTCTTCGCAGCTTACACAGAACGACCGAGTAGGCTTCCATTATACAGTAATGTGCCTCACCGTTTGGCCAATCCTGTTGTGGCTGAGTGCGAGAGAAGCCAGTTCAATGCGACATCATGTGGAGAGAGACATCGCCGTGGGACTGTACTCTAGAACTGTGTTCATACTTTTTGATGTAAGTTCTTCTTAATCAGTTAAGAAGGAAAAGAAAAAAATATAAAGTTTAATACTCATGTGCACTAGAGAAAGAGAGTGTATTTCCTCCGAATTACTGTGGAAATCTTTGAATCGGACTGAAAATTGAATGAGAAGTAAAGTAACTTAATACAACTTTTATCTGTAGATAACATAACGTCATCACGCCTTTTATCCCCGAAGGGTTAGGCAGAGGTGCACATTATGCCACTGTACAATGTAACACCCACTTTTCACTATTTATGTTATGAGTCCCATGTAATAGGGGGTGAGCCTATTGCCATATAATATACCGGGCACAATTCCAGACTCCGTGCTACTATTGAGAATTTTTTTTAAAAACCCAGTAATACTTTGTCTTTTTTATCTGTAGATACTGTATTGTATTATATTTTTTACTTTTTTTTCAGCAATTTTTGGAGTTATGGTCGGCAGGTTTGACGTGGCTAGCGTACTTAGTGCCGAGCTACGCTATGAGTGGGCTGTACGCTCAGTCTCCCGCCTCCTTCGACGGATTTTATTTATACTTAGGCAAGTTTTTTTCAGTAGATTTTATAAGCACAATCTGGTATTTCCTAGATGAGCACTGCAGATAAATTTCTTTCTTTATTGTGGGTGGTTTTCTCGATCATGCTTAATCAAAACATTTCTTTCTTCTATTTCTATATCTAGAAGAAATACTAATCAGTCCAATTTATCGAATTCCAGGTTACATGCTGCTATATCTGATAAGTATACAAATGTTGTGTCGAGCGACAATATTCCTTGTGCCAATGGAGAAGACTGCCGCAGTCATAGCAGGGTTCTGCCTATTGCTCAGCACCCTTGTCAATGGCGTGATGATACACAGTAGAGATCTGCCGGATTACGTCACGTGGCTTCAGATCGTGTCGCCCTCTAGATGGACTCTACCGGAACTATTGGAGAGGGAGCTCAGTGAAGTGGCGCTGAGGAGCAGTATTAGTAATAGGTGTAACAATAAACAGGTGAGATCTTGTCGCTCTATTTTACTTTTATCTAGGGCTTATAATAATTATTCCGATTCGTTCGTAGTTATTTACAGCCACTATAACTTTTCAGCTAGTTTTTAGTATTAATTCTTCTCCTTAGTTTCTCTTGTGACGACATAATGTCCATGTGATGCAACTTCTGAAAGCTTTTCCAAAAATGACAAAGAATCATAGAAGTGACCACCTTTAAAAACTCTTTTCTGTTTCCAGGGACCATACAAGGACATAATAGTACAATCACCGTGCCCTCCTCCGAACGGTACTCAAGTACTTTCCAACTACGAGTATCTTCGTTCTAACCATCTCTGGGAATGGACTGATGACACTTTCCTCATTTCCCTAGCAATATTCTATGGAGTATTCGCCTTTGTAGCTCTAATAGCATTTGTTGCCGATTGTACTAAATACACTAAGAGAAAAGACCGAATTTCCAGAAAAGGACACAAAGTCAGTGCAAATACTCCTTGATATACATCAAAATGATTACGAGACTTTTTTTTTGTTGTTGGGATGCGAAAAACAGATGGCGCTGTTCATCATGTAGAGCTCCATGTTTTTCTTGGGTTGCAACAATGGACACAGATTCCATGTTTAGGTAGGGAATTGGGTGGTATCGTTTCATAGCAACATGAGACAAATATTATGAGACTAGCATAGTTTAAAAAGGAGATCATAAATACATATTTGTAAAAAAACTGGTAATCAATTTTAGTGGTACTAGAAATATCCATTATAAAATATTATTTTTAAGTTTTGGGGATGTTGCTCAATCAGGGCGATTAAATTGAATGGTTTGTATGAATAAGGAATATAAAAGTCGAACAATGTACAAAAGTATGAATTGTCATAATAAAATTATGTAATTAGGTAAATTCAACTTTAAGGGTTGAAGCAAAAGGCTGACTATAGGTCTTCCGTCCATATAGATGTATGTACTATTTTAAGACATTGATTATCCTTATACCTACAACTATAATCTTTAGTACTATTTTCTAGTGGGGTGAATAGGACCTAAGGATCTATTAAGGATACTATTCAGTGAATAAGGATAAATAACCAGGCAAGATGGTAGCCAAAAGTCAACATATCCAGTATGAAAAAAAAACCATTGCTAAAGCCTGAATATATTCATAATCCAGAAAATAAATACTTTAGAATCAGAATGATCTACTATACTCTGCACTGAGTACCTATTTCCATTCACCCCATTTACGTTTATACTGTATTTCATTACAGAAACGAGGTTATCTATAAAGAGATCCATTTCTTTAAAGCTTTCTCTTCTCTACCTCTTATTAGTAGAAAAGTATAATAAGCAGAATCTGGCAACACCTATTGAACTAGTTATTTTTCCAATATGGCAATGTTGCTGCATGTTTGGAAGATAATTGTGTGCCTTGTACATGAATATGGTAGAATAATAAATGCATAATAAACAAATAATTCAATTCATATTAAGATTAGTTTTTAAGTTAATACTTTAAAAAAATGGTGCAGTTTAGTATGATAATATTACTGTCTAATGTGGTAAGTAACCGTCCAATGTTTTCATCAATAAAGTTCAATTTTCCGTGCACAAATTAAAAAAATGTTTAGTTAAACAAAGTCAAACCCACTGATGCATGTTACCCCGGTTCATTAAAAAAACGATTTTGTGTTCATATGAAAATTGAGCGTGGAAATGTAGATAATATTTTATTTGATTGATTATTTTAAGTGATTATAAACATTTTGTTCACTGAGGCCTTTCCTAAGTCCTTTTCGTCAAATTAGTTTTAAAGTGAAGCCATATCACTTAATTTTAATTATTATTTTTAAGTTACCTTAGCGTCAAACTATACATATTACATATAATACTAAATAATAATAATAAAAGAATAGTAATTTAATGATTTATTTGTTTTATTTCATGATCCTCTATTTCTTCAACTTGTATAAGAAAAAAGTATAAAAATTGATTTATAGAATAATAAATTTAAATTATAATATTTTAGTTTATAAATAAGATAAATTATTAATTTGAAAACAATATTTTTTTAACAAAACTTACACTATACAAGATTTTGTCTATACAATTTTTGTTAGAATATCGAACTTTTAAAAAAACAGATAAGCATGCATGATTAGTTATAAAAATTGGTTTCTAAAAACTTATGAAGAAAAATATAACAATGTATAACATTTGATGACAACATTAAAGTACAATTTCCTTTGCTCATTAATCACAAACTGTATTACTTACCTACATCCTGTCACGCAGTCATTTTTTATGAGGTAGTTATTGCAAATTGATCCTTATTGACCTGTCAAATGTTTTATCCTTTGTTCGTATGGAATAGTTCATGGTATCGTTTACAGATTTCACATACACAAGGGGTTATTTTAGTTTTAAAATGTTTTGTCGCATAGTCCTGTGTGCTGGTGTTTGTGTATCTATCATGGTCGATGTATCTGCTTTCTAGGATAGTTTTCGTGTGTTTCTCCTCTTTCTGTCGGTTGGAGTACGGCTTCTCAGTGCTGCCCATTGATCTGGAAAATCATAATGAAGAGACTAGATTGAAGGAAATCATGAGTAACATTTTTCTTGTCATTTTAGTATGGTTAAATCACTTATGAGTACCTAACTTTAGCAAAATAGGAACTAACTTAAGTTTTAGTTTACTTTAACTTAAGTTTTACTTTACTTTACTTTTACTATTGTGTTTTTTTATTCTACAGGGAATATTATTATTAGAAAACTGTGCTTATACAAATTTATTTGTAACTATTCTACTTTTACTTTACTTAAATTTTACAAGATGATACCCACTACTGTGGCATCAATTAATAAAATATACCTAATACGTCTAAAAATATAGTCTAGTACCTACAATAAGTGAAAAAATAATCAAAGTTACACCTTTAAAAATAAATCACAAAATCAAACTAGTAGGTACTGCTAAGCACAAAAATCGATAACCAACGACTAGACCAAGCCTACTAGCTACTAGTTACAGATAAACAACTGCATTAACTACTGACTACACTCTATTTGATCTAGGTACTATTAATTAACCAATATTACTACCTACAAGTACCTAACATATCAAGCCTTCACCTTATCGTATGATCATCATAAGAATCGGTATCATTACTGCCCATGAACGGTTTGTTTATCCATGTATCTGTATTTTGTACATTGTAGACACAATACTCGCGGAAAGGCGAACGGCTGCGACGCTGCGACTTCTGATGTGGGCAGGTCGTCATACCAGTTTTCGGTATTGGACTATAAACGTATGAAGGGTTTTTAGTAGGGTGTAGATACCATTATACGTCGTATTAGCTAGATGAAACATATCATTATGGAGTTCGACAAAGTCTAACTACTCTAGGGCAAGCTACGCGTCGCGGAGAACCTAACGGGTAACCGGGGCTCCGGCTCGACGTGCAGGAGAAGAAACGGAGTGGTTTTTAGTCAGTAAGAGTCTGACACTCCCTCCCGCCTCACCCAGGCGGGAGCAGTCATTCGATGATTTTCCCCCCTTAAAAAAAAGGGCAAGCTACGCCATTGGCAATGATTTCTCATATAACGTTGAAATTATTTGTCTTTGTATGGAGTTTATTTATTTTCTCAGAAGCATACCAATTGTTGACTGGCTGTAGGTACCTATACCTAACTACCTACTATTCACACTCATATAAAGCAATGTAATGTAAACAATCTCAAAGTAATAGGCAAAGTCTATTTTTTCCTCAAATGACAGATGGAATATAATTTTGGTATCATGTGACTAGGATGAGTTATTCATTTCATGTTATATTTCCTCCATCCTATTTTCCTATTCCTTTGGAAACATATGTAGGTAATGATCTTTCTAGTAAAGACTATGTTTTAAGAAGTCTCTCTTTAATTTTTTTTTATAGTGAAGGTCTGTGTTACTTACATAGGACAGTCACAATTGATATACTCCGCATCGTTCTGCGTCAGGCTGCAACATGACTTCGAGCCCGAGGACCCAGACCGTGACCGTGACCTCGGTCCTGATGGCGCCCTCGCGTGTTTCAAACATTTGTTCCTGTAAGTTTTAGATAAAATTAAAAGTCTATTTTTGCGTTACTACTTAAGACACCTTGGTCGGACTCTAGTCATTAGGTCTTCTTACGAGCTTGTTGTTGTTACCAAAAAAAATTATAACTAAGTGTGTTCATTATAATTATGATATTTTGATCGTCTTAGGTAGGTACCTAATAAAGGTATCCGATGCTGACACATACCTATATAGGTAAGTTACGTCTATGACTCGACGGAAAATACAGTAGATACCTAAATTGTAAAACTTAACTTTGCATGCCTATATTGTAAAACTTAACTTTGCATGCCGAAAACAGTAGGCGATGTATGTGGGACTATTTTTTTATAATTATTATTACCTGTAATTACCATAGTTCGTGCAAATAAATGTTCTTTTTCTTAAATGATAAGAGAAAATAATTACCTACGTCGATGTCTAGTAATTTAGTACGAGGGCAATACAGGCGTACCAACTCACCTATGATACCGTGCAGAATGGCAAACCTGCCTCTGTCGGGAAGCCTCGTCGCGAGGCGAGCAATGACAGGCAACTTTCAGCGTCGAAGGCACGGGGTGAGTCTGGTTCCATACCTCATCTATACGCACTTTTGTTGCTATCTCGATTTTAGGAGATAGTATACCCTGCAAAATAGATGTTTTTAACTCCGTTTTGAATTTGCTAATCCGTCTATTCTTTTCTGTAAGAACAGTGGCGTAACTATTACTTATATTGTTCGAGACCCGTGGCAAATTCATCGAATGGACCACTTTTGCCTATTAAAATCGCTTGATAACTATATAGGTGTTCAGGTACGACCTTTTGGACGGAGCCCGAAACGGCTGGGGGCCCGTGGGAATTTACCATCTTGCCACCATGTAGTTACGCCACAGTGTTTTTTTAAGGGGGGGGGGGGAATTATCGGATGACTTTTCCCGCCGTGGTAAAGTGGGAGAGAGTGTCAAGACTCTTACTGACTAAAAATCACCCTGTTCCTACTCCTGCCCTTCGAGCCGGAGCTCCGGCAACCCGTTAAGTCTTCCGCGGTGATGCCACAGTGTAAGAAGCAAATCAGTACATATAAAATCTATTTGTATTTAATTAATTATTTTTTAATGGAAATTAATGACATGCCAGCCTTATTATAATATGCTCAAGTTGTATACAATAATTAAATGATTTTTAATATCTACATAATGCAAAAATATAAAATAAAAAAGAATATTTATTTTTTAAATGATTCCTTTAGTTATAAAACGCTTTAGTAAAACTAGAGCAAGGACAGATAAAGTATCAAGGAAAAAATATATTACAGGGAAGTCCTTAGCCCTCCTCATGAGTAGATCCACTCCATCGTTGGAGCACATGTTGGGCGGGAAGAGCACATCGTTCAAAGCTCCCAGGTACTGAGCCAGGATCACACACTCACTAGAAGCACAGTCATCACACCATTGCACCAGCTCACAGTATATGGTTTCTTCCTCTGAAACATTCATAAAAAATATAATAAGTATGGTATATGCAATACTAGCTGTTGCCCGCGACTTCGTCCGCGTAGAACATGATTCCTGTTTTATCCCATGGAAAAAGTATTCTATCACCTAAGTCAGCCAATATTCTGCTTGTAGGTATTCCAAACATGAAAATACGTTCAGTAGTTTCAGCATGATTGATGGAGAAACATACAGACATTCAAACAATGAAACTTTCATTTCACATTTGCAATATTAATGTGATAGTATGTCAGGCATGTCACTTTTGATTTCCTTCTATACTATATCATCAACTAGACTCAGTCCCAGTTATATAATATTTTAAGGTGTGGTAGAAAAAGATAATATACATATGTATGTATATTATCTTTTGTATTATATATGTACATGTATAAGTTATGTATGTACATACATAACTTCACGCCTGTCTCCCATGGGGGTAGGCAGAGACTAAGGAACGCCAATTACTACGATTCTTACATACCTCTTTCGCTTCATTAACAGTCATCAATCTTTTCATGCATGCTCGTCGGTTAAGGGTACTTTTAATTTGGCCCTTCTTTAATATATCGCCAATCTGGTCACTATATGTCCGTCTAGGGCGCCCTCTACCGACGGCCCCATTCATATCCGCTCTGTATACTTCCTTCGTTACTCTACTTTCATCCATCCTTTCTACATGTCCAAACCAGCGTAACATTCCCTTTTCAATCCTTGTCACTACATCATCTTTCAATCCACACCTTTCTTTCTTTCACACACAAAAAGATAATATAAATGTACCTAATGAAATCCAAATAAAAATACAGTTCAAGGGTGTGTCTGTAATGTAAGTAGGTACAGATGATGTCATACCCAATATGTATTTATATTAATCAAAGAATTGATTGCAATATTTTTGCAAAAATATTTAATTTAGTGATAAAATAGACTATTGCTAGCCAATTTTATTTTGTGTGTAATCAGTGTATCGGATGTTCAAACTATGATGACTGTTATTAATAAAACCATACAAATAAAAGATAAGCAAACATAATGAGTGATTAGGTAACGATATATTATCCTCTATTTTTAACAGAAAGCCAACTTAAGCTCAAAACAGATAAACAGCATTTCAACTGCAAATTGTAGTTTGGATGCAGTCTGAATCTGAATGCAGTTGACACAACTGCAATAAACTGCAATCGGACTGCTTGTTTGGTCATGACTGCAATAGACTGCTTGTTTGGTTTGCAGTACATGACTGCATTCAAAATACAATTTGCAGTTGGATTGCTCATAATAAAATAAAAGTATTACATAATTGATTACGAATTATGCTGTTTCATTTAAGATTTTAAGTAGTAATGTAATGTGTAGATCATACTAGGTGTTGTCAGGGAAAAATCGATTTTGGGTCTAAACAAGTTGGCCATCCCTGGTCTAGAGTCTCCACGGAATATAGAATACTATATTCCGTGAGAGCCTCAATACAAGTCAGATTGTTATCTCAAAAATAAGTATTAATATACCTATAAGTACTTACTTAACAAACAGCAAATGTTATTCAATGCACATGATTCTTGAAATCTTTTGCGGAAGTAGAAGATGTCTTTGAACATGAGTGGGAAGATAGGAGGCAGTAGACAGGTCTGGTAACTGGTGCCCAGCGCAAACACTGTGAGGGAGACTCGTCCATCTTGGCATAACCACACTCCCGGACATGATACCTGGTGAGGAAAAATGCAAAGCTTGCCATTAAAAGGAAAGAGACAAAAAAGAGTGTTTAATTATTTGACGCTTACACATTTTGAATGGAAATAACAAAACAAAAATATCTCCTTAGTACTTTTCAAAAATGATGTACTTACTTACCTATCTTCTACTTTAGTTGATTTGTTGTATCAGTCTCAAAATAAATACGTGAACAGCTTGTGAGCTAAGTACTGTTTACAAGTTTCTTGGATATATAATAATTAGAACAGGGTTTCCCAAACTATGGGTTGCAACCCATTGGTGGGTCCAAGTGAAATTTTAGTGGGCCTTGTCTGTATAATGACACACTAACTAACCATTCTATATTTCACTTTTCCTATTGGTAACAGTTTCATTTCCTAAAAGTGGATCCATAGAGTCTGCTACCCCCCATGGGAGACAGCCCTGATGTTATGTATATATGGGTCCTGAGGTTTATAACTTGACTTATCTATCTAAGTCAGTCAGCTATCAAAGTTGGAAAGACTGACCTATGTCAGTCTTTCCAACTTTGGGAACCACTGAATTAGAACATTCGGACTTTACAAAACTCATGAAACAAACTTTATGGGGTCAAGGTCATTATCTAATAATTATGTAGGTATTTAATATAGTTATTTATAGGTAACTTAGTAAATATGAATTAAATTGAAAATTAGGGAAAGGTATGAAAAAGAGCTACAAATCACTTATTAGAAGCAAATAAGAAACTTACTCTCTGTACATCTATTTCCACTGTTAACTCGATAATTTTTGGCATGTTGCAGCATCACATTGCCGATTATCTAGCTTCCACTACACACTCATGATTAAACATTTAATTTTAGCCCAAATACTGTCATAATGAACGAATTTCTTAGCTGAAACTAATATCCAAAGTAACTAAATCTAATGTTTACATTTATGTAAACAAATTTAACGAAATCACGACAATCAAATAGACACTAATAGACAGTAAATCTTTTTGATAGGTCTAAACTCTAAATAATTACTATTATAACCAATGAAATCATATCATATTGAAACAGCTCAAAAAGAACACCAATCCCGTAACGTTAAATATGTAACCATGACAACTGTATCAAATAAGAGTTACTGTCATCTGTCATCTCGAAATCCGTAGTCGTTCAGAAATATCATCTTATGAAATAACGACTTGTTATATTGGTATCAAATAAGACTATCTAACCTTTGCCTTGTTTTCTAAAATAAATTCTTGTTTTCTAAAAAATTGTAATCAAATCATGGTGCGAAAAAAACAGAAAAAAATGATATATCATCAAGGCTTTATTCGTGTGTGTCAAGTGTCACTGTCAGTTTCTCTTGTAAACTGACTGAACTACTCTGCTTTCAAGTTTTCAGCGCATTTTTATCAAGTATTCAAAAAAGGTTATCTATAATGACTAAAGTACCGTCTGTTATTCATTGGTTTAGATTAGATTTACGAATTCATGATAATCTTGCGCTACGTAATGCAATAAACGAAGTAAGTTATTCAAATAATCAGTCATGAAGAGCTGCTGGCGTTTTACTTTTTGAATCAACTACCTATTTCGATTTGTTATTTTTTACTTTAGTTAATTGTTTTATCATTTTGCTAGTTGCTACATACCCTTTTAATTCACTTCAATGACGAACTCCTTATAATGTAGGTAGATATAAGTTATATTTTTTTATATATATCAATTTTCTTTTTTTAGGCTGAAAACCGTAAACACCTTTTAAGACCAGTATACTTCTTGGATCCTGAAATTAAAAGTAAGATAGGAATTAACAGATTAAAATTTTTGGTACAGAGCCTTCAAGATCTTGACAATAACTTGAAGAAATTGAATTCCCGCTTATATGTTATCAGGGGAAATGCTGTGGAAGAGTTAGATAAGTTACTTAACAAATGGCAAATTAAATACTTGACTTGCCAAGTTGATATTGACCCAATCTATGTGAAACAAGATGAGGAACTTGATAAGTTTGCTGAAAAGAATGATATATTTGTGGTTCGTAGAGTCCAACACACTGTCTATGATGTCCACAGTGTATTGAAAAAGAACAATGGTAATGTCCCCATGACATATCAAAAGTTCCTCTCATTAGTACAGGATATGCAAGTAAAGGATTGTATTGAAATAACTAAACCAATATCTGAGCACTGTAACCCAAAAGATTCTGATTCCAAAAAGTATGATGTTCCAAGTTTTGATGAACTTGATATTGATGAATCAGCTTTGGAACCCTTAAAATATCCAGGAGGTGAAACAGAAGGCTTAAAAAGATTGAATATGTATATGGCTCGAAAACAATGGGTGTGCAAGTTTGAAAAGCCAAATTCATCCCCAAACAGTTTAGAGCCAAGTACCACAGTATTAAGTCCTTATATCAGTCATGGATGTTTATCATCCAAACTGTTTTACCACAAACTAAAGGAAGCATTAAGCGGTATGCGTCACACAGAACCCCCTGTATCTCTAATGGGGCAATTAATGTGGAGAGAATTCTACTACACAGCTGGAGCTGGTACTGAAAATTTTGACAAGATGGTTGGAAATGCAGTATGTACCCAAATTCCCTGGGGTACAAATGAGGAGCACTTGAAAGCATGGGCAGAAGGCAGGACAGGATACCCTTTTGTTGATGCCATCATGCGTCAACTCAAACAAGAAGGATGGATACATCATTTGGCTCGCCACATGGTTGCTTGTTTCCTTACAAGAGGAGATTTATGGATTTCTTGGGAGGAAGGAGCCAAAGTATTTGAAGACTACTTACTAGACTATGATTGGTCATTAAATGCAGGTAATTGGATGTGGCTCTCAGCTTCTGCCTTCTTTTATAAATTCTTCAGAGTTTACAGTCCAGTAGCTTTTGGCAAGAAAACAGATAAAGAAGGTCTGTACATAAGGAAGTATGTCCCTGAATTAAAAAAATATCCCACTGCTTTCATCTATGAGCCTTGGAAAGCACCAAAAAGTGTTCAGATGGCAGCTGGTTGCATAATTGGGCAGGATTACCCTAAAAGAATAGTTGATCATGATAAAGTGCATAAGGATAACTGCCAAAAGATGTCTGCTGCTTATAAATTAAATAAAGAGAGAAAAGCTTTAAAAAGACCCTTGACATAGACTTTTATGGAGTTGTACTCAGATTTAATCTTATTTGATGTTAAACTTATTAATATTAATATCGGTAATAAATCTAATGTTTTTTTGTTAACTTTATAATGTTTAAGTTAAACTGTTTGTTACGTGTGTTGCCTTAATTGAACTACCTCAAATATTGTTATTTTATACTGTAATATTGATGTTTATTAATGCGTTTATACAAATTAATAAATGATTTCTATTTTATTAATATTTTTAATTTTTGAATCGTATTTCTGTGTTAGCAGTAACAAAACGTGATGACATGAATATTTTAATGTCATGTTAAAGTGTCAACGTCAACAATGCAATGTCATTTTCTTTGTTGGATTAATTTTCGCTTTGTTTTTCAAATTTTCTTCGAAAATTAATATAGTTTTTCATGAAAAAATATATAAGAATGAGGTCTGCAAATAAGGGCAGTGCCCTATATATGATAGTTGTAGACTTTGGGACATAATTTTTGGGTAAGTTGAGTAATTCAGCCAGTTTTTGTATTTAATTCTCTATTCTGTTTATGAACATGATAAATATTATACGTTTATAGTATAAAAATGTTTATTTAATTCTCAATTTCACGTGATTTAAAAGGTAAATATCTTTACATACAAACCTAGCAGACAACCCGTGATACGCCCACATTCGCACATGCATACACTCGTCAGTAGATAAGGTCACCAATACCTACCTATTAATTAATTGTTCTACATGATTTTAATATCACCACGGAATAAAATTTTGCCGCCGTAATTGTACACTTTTTCCATTATTTTACAATGATTAGGTAAAATCAAACTATATATGGATAGTAGTTTTATATCATAATAAACATTTCATAAATTATTATATTTTTTCCCATATAACAATGGTCAAGTTTTGTTTAGAAAGTTTATTATAATTATATATAGTTTTATATTCATTCAATTTTTTTTTTTATAATAACATGGCTGAGGTACTTGTCTGGCACCAAAGGTAGGATCAGTTTTACAAACATCCTTACATCATTACTGATGTAATTGAGAAGATATTCTGTTTTTTTTGTATAAGTATTTCCCACACTTGGACTTTCCAAAGATAATAAGTATGCATGTGAATAATATCACATTCATCTAAAGCACCCTACTCTATTATTTGCTCTAATAATAAAAAAAATGTACTGGTTTAATAGTAATTCACATTATTTCTCTATAACAGTATAAAAAAGTTAATACATCTAGTAGTCTATGGTAAAACAGGGTATCCTTAGACACAAGAATAGACACAGAAGAGGGGTGAATAGATATTATGAAGAACTTCTGCTTTGGCCTCTATTCACCTCTCTACTCTTATTACCCCTGTTTTACCTGATGTGGAAAACAATTACTTCCACTTAATAAGGGCAATGTCTCAAAATAACTAGAGCAGTCATTGTTGTTATTTGATCTTTAAGTAAATATTTTGATGCCAGTTTATAAATGTTTGTTGACCTATTGGAGAAATGACCAATAAATATCCACGGTCGAAAGATGCTACATGTCTGTGGCTCGTCATAGACAAAGTGTTGTTTTGTCAGGAAAGAGGTCTTGAACTTTATCTCTTAAAAGTTAAAAGAGTTTTATTATTTTATGGTTACATTGTTTATTGTCTGTGATAGAAGTTGGAATTTACAGAGCCGATAATATCTTCTTCCACACAAAAAAAATTGTTTTTAAAGAAATTGTTTTTATTAAGTATATCTATTATTGACCTTATAGGTCACAAAAAAGTCAATTACCTAGGTATTGTAGTTATTTTTATTTATTTTTAGGTATTATCTTATTATTTATAAGTACCTACTAAAGTTTTTCCACACAATTTTGCCAGAAGTACGGAATATCACACAAATATAAAGAACATCTCTCATCTAACTCTATTCACTGTTGAATACTGCATAAAATAAAAAAAAATATGGATATAAAATTGTAATAAAAAATAAAAAAAAAAATTACCGAAATTATTGCACAAAATTATAATTAATTAGCTAAAATTGTAAAGTCATTGTATACTAAAAGGGCATGATAAGAGTTTAGGGGTTATAATTAGAATTAAGATAAGACTGGCCTCACATCAAGAACGATTGAATCATCCATATTTACTTTGAATATCATAGTTCAGTCATAATGAGGTCTATGGAATCTGAGGTTCAATGGTTATAGCCCCAACAGAATTTCATATAATATTAGAACTAGTTTGTTAGGTTTGTGTTACCTATCTGTTTGTCAAGTTTATTTGAGTTTAAGTTCAGTTCTAAAGTATTTATAATTAACAATGTAAACTTCTGTATATTTATACATCCATGGTGCCCCTGAAATCGAAGATCAAATGGCTCCAGGTGGTCAAAGTCAAAGTCAAAGCATTTATTTCAATTAAACCAAAGTTTGGTACTATTGAAACGTCAACAAATACAAAATAAATAATAGTCTGTCAGTCAGTCCGAAAATCTTAAGTCTAACATGGTGCTCACATATGCATACTCAACAAGGCTCGACAAGGTCGACAAGGCTCCAACCGTTACCAGAAAAATATTAAAAAAATCGAAGATAGTTTTTAAATTACAATGACTTGTGTTATCCAAGAAAAAGTACATCTCTTTTAACTCTTTTTGCTACAATTCTACAATTTAATGAAGGTTCTAAAATGGGATATAATTTGGAATTTTTTAAATATTTTTCTGATGACGTAAGAACATTGCCGACCACCTGGTGCCATTTGATCGTGGACTTCAGGGACACCCTTGATAAATAAAAATGAATTT